ACCTTCCCAAGTCTTCTCAGCAGGCTAAACACCCGAGTTCCTTCTACCACAGATTCTCATGTTACATGAACTCCAGGGCCTTCCCAATCCTCCGAAACTACCTCTGGACATACTCTCTTTTGTAAATGTATTGACTAAAATACTATATAAATACAGGATTACAGAAATGGTCTGACCAGGGTAGAGTACAGTGAGAGGATCACTCATTTAATTTGCTTTTAATGAAAATGAACTAAGCATTTACTATGTACAAGGTGCTATGCTACACACCGGTGATAGAAAAATAAAAATTATCCAAAGGCTACAAAACTGTGCATACCCTTTGATCCAGCAAGACCACTACTAGGTCTCTACCCCAGAGATCATAAAAAAGGGAAAAGGACCCACATGTACAAAAATATTTATAGCAGTTTTTTTTGTGGTGACCAAGAATTGGAAATTGAGGGGATGCCCAACAATTGAGGAATGGCTGAACCAGTTATGCTTTATGAATATAATGGACTATTGTGCTATAAGAAATAATGAGCAGGCAGACATCAGAAAAACCTGGAAAGACTTGGAAGAACTGATGCTGAGTGAAGTGAGTAGAACCAGGAGAACACTGAACACAGTAACAGCAACACTGTGCAATGATCAACTTCGACAGACTTAACTTTTCTGAGCAACACAATGATCTAAGACAATTCTAAAGGACTCATGATGGAAAATACTATCTACATCCAGAGAAAGAACTATGGAGTCTGAATGCAGATCAAAGCATACTATTTTCTCTCTTTTTGGTTGTTTTTTGTGTTCTCTTTCTCATGGTTTTTTCCCTTTGCTTCTGATTCTTCTTTACAACATGACTAATGTGGAAATAAGTTTAATATGATCATACATGTATAGCCCATATCAGATTGCATGCTGTCTTGGGGAAGGGGGAGTGGGGAGGGGGATTTTAGAACTCAAAATCTTATAAAAGCAAATGTTGAAAACTAAAAATTAATTATTTTTTTTAAAAATAAAAATTAAATTGCACTTGCCCTCTAGAAGCCTACATTCTACACAGAAGATACAACATGGACACAGAAAAGTAAATACAAAGTAATTTCAATTACAATTCAATGGGTAGAGAGCAGGAGTGTGCTAGTAAATGTTTAACAACCAGCTCTCCACCAAAAAAAAAAAAGTAGGCTAGACATACTTTTAAGTTTAATCTGCATTAAGACTTTCTCCATCACTTTCTTGAGTCTAGATAATCAACAGAAGAATTAATGAAGCCTTGATTTGTAGTTTTTCCAAGGTGTACATGCTCATACTGAAAACTTAATAATCTGTTTCCCAGGTAGGAGCTGGCTCTAGCACACTCCTGGTCGAGTACTCTTAGGCACCAGATAGCATCTATTCTCCAGCTCCCTTCAGACTCTTCCCTCATCCCATATACTTGCTCATGTATCTCTTACACAAAGGGTTCTCCAAAGTCATTTCTCTGGGTCTCATTTCCTCAGTGTCTCTATTTAGTACACATACAAATCAATGACCTGAGGAGGGTTTGTTTTTTGGTTGTTTGTTTGGAGGTGGGGGAGAGGAGAGAGAAGCAATAGAGTCACTGATGAAAGAAATCATAGGTGCAAAGATTCAGAGATGGAAGGGACCTTCAGAGACCGAATTTTTATCCAACCTCTTCACTTTAAAGCAAAAAGCAAAACTGAGAAGATTCACAGAGGTTAAGTGATTTAACCAAGGTCACCCTGCTATAAAGTGATAAAGGCCAGATTTGGACCCACATTCTCTGATTTCAGATCTATCACTCCTATCACTGCAGAACGCTGCCTCCTGTAGGAGGATCGCGAAGAGGCTAAAGAATTTGAAGCTCTAAAATGGACAAGACCAAACTTTTCCCATGGTGAGATAAGTAGGTAATGTAGTAAATAGATAGCCGGTCTTGGAGTTAGGAAGACTTCAGTTCAAGTCTTGCTTATGACAAATGTCATTTAATTTCTCTGTGTCCCCAGGCAACTCTCTAAAACATTAAGCAAAAGAGAAGCATTGGTTGGAGAAGTGATTTCATCACTGAAAATTTCCTACACCCATGAAATTATAGGTCTGGTCCCAAAAAAAAAAAATGACCCAGTGAAGGAACAATGTTATGGTAGGCCAGAAAATATCTGGATCTTCTTATTGCTGTTTTGTTGTGTTTTTCATGGTGGTTCTTTGAAAGGTCCTTAAGGCTCATATTCACAGCCCACTCCTACTCTAGACAGACCCCTTTCCCCTGCTGCGGCACCCACCACATCCCATCCCAGTCCTTTTTCTGGATCCCTGCCTTCCCAAACATCCCCAATCCTTCCTTTCCCTCTCATCCTTCCACTCCTAAAATCAGGAATCCTCTGCTGAAAACTTCCTGCCACTTAGCCAATCTTTTTGTTCTTAATTCTACCTCTGGGGCAAAAAAAAAAATAAATCTAATCCTTTTTTCCACATTGCAGTCTTGCAAACAAATGAAAATAGCCATCCTAACCCACCTAAACCTTCCCAAGTCTTCTCAGCAGGCTAAACACCCGAGTTCCTTCTACCACAGATTCTCATGCTACATGAACTCCAGGGCCTTCCCAATCCTCCGAAACTACCTCTGGACATACCCTCTTTTGTCAAATGTATTGACTAAAATACTATATAAATACAGGATTACAGAAATGGTCTGACAAGGGTAGAGTACAGTGAGAGGATCACTCATTTAATTTGCTGTGGCTGCCCACAAGTGACATCAGAGGCCAGGGAAACAGTCAGATCACATCCCTCCCTATTAAAAACAAAAATCTTTTGGTATGCCTGTGCTACCTTGTTGTATAAGGGATTTAAGGAGTGAATAAAGCCGGTCATGAACCTGTATGTGCCAAGTCCAGAGAGTAGACTCTTGCAGAACCACAATCTCCCTCCTCTTGCCATAGCCAGAAGCTCATTGCTTGCCAAGAATCCAGAAATTTCCCTGCTTGTATCTTTCATCGCCCCCATCCATTTAGGTACATCCTTAAATGATCCTGCCCAAACACAGGTATCTCATTTTGGGCCTCCTGGCCTCCCTTATGTTAATCAAAACACATTAATAAGTAAGAACCTGGGGCAACTAGGTGGCTCAGTGAATAGAGCATCAACCCTGGATTCAGGAGGACCTGAGTTCTAATCCCGCTTCAGATACATAACACTTACTAGCTGTGTGACCCTGGGCAAGTCACTTAACCCCGCTGCCTAGCCAAAAAAAAAAAAATTAAGAACCTACAGATCTAGCATCACTGACCATCTACCTCTTCTGGGAAAGTCTGAGCAACTGCCATAGA